ATGTTTGACTGCTAGACAACTGCGGGGTGCTATTCGTCCATAGGTGCCTTCTGGTAGTCCGATGGCTATTCCTGTTGCTATCATTGCCTGCCCATTGGCAGGTATCTTGATTCCTTCGTTGGCATATAGGTCATGTCCTACTGCTCCTTTGGAACCCTTAGTAGGCACTTTTGCCTCTTGGTCCAGTCTTTGTATCCGGACTCTCTTATCTTGCCACAACTCCGCGAACTTTGCATGCAAAGTTTCTTCTTCAGCTTTCTCGTATTAGTGTCGAGTAAACCACAGGTGAACTTTTGAGACATCATGTCGCACATAGTTCACTTGTAAAGGTCATCTTGTTCTTGTTCCAATCGATCGTCAGATTATGCTTTCATAACCATGGCATCCCTAGGACTATCTCATGGTTTTTAAGATCTGCTACCTGAAAGGTTACCATTTCCCTATGGCTGTCAATGTCCATAGGTACTGTCACCGTATGGGTTATAGGACCCATAGTGCTTGGCTTTCCATCCACGGGCTAGACTTGTCTTACTTTCTTTGCTTGGTTGGTATGGAGGCCGTATTTGTCGCAGATTTCTTTGTCGATGAAGTCTTCAGTAGCCCCAGAGTCGAGCATTGCATATATTGTTGTTTCTTCGTTTTCTTCATTGTATATCTTCATCTTGATCATCACATAATCTCTGTCTTCTTCTCCTCTTTGTATATGTAGTGCCGTATAGTAGTTCACTAACTTGATGAGTTTTCCAGGTCCACATCTTAGGTCTCCCAGACTACCGTTTACTGAGGACCCTCATTGTTTTCCACCGGTGAATCTTCTGCAATCATTTCGTGAATGTTGCTCCTTTTTTGATTTTGGAAACGATTATTTCCAGCAGCTCTGGTCCCTTGATATCCACTGTCGGGTCGGCTTCTGCATTCTTGTATCCGATGTCCTGCTTTTCCACACCTTAGGCAGAGTTTCCCATTCATTCTTCTGGCATATTCTTCCTTAGACAAGTTCAGAGCAGGCCTTGCTCTTGATTTGTCTAACTCCATTGGCTCGCCTGGTGGTAATGCTCGACTTTCTCCTCAAGCTGCTTGCGGTTTGAAGGTTCCATCCACATTCCTGGATGATTGGACCACCCTGTGGGCTATAGTGTTTTCTGAGTTGCTTTGAACCATGTTTAGTTTGCTTTCCTTATCAATCGCCCATTTTGCAAATCGTTCTGCTGTTGTATAGCGCAGGTCGGAGATTCCCCATGCCTCTCGGAGTCTCTCGCTGCAGTTTCTCAGAAGGATGATGTAGAGAGTAGCATCATCAAACTCGGCTTTGTATTCCAATAGTCGGCATTCATTCCAGTACGCCGAGAATGTTTGTTTTCCTTGTTGGAGTTTTTCCAGCTTTCGTCTTGCTGTTTCTTAGGCGTTGGTGTCTCCGAATCGTTCCAAGAGTGTCCCCTTGAACTCTTCGTATATGACCCATTCTCTCTGCTTCCTTCCATTTTGGAAAGACATAATCCATTGCACTGCGAGTCCTCTGAGTAGAGATTCCACGTATGGAATCTTGATCTCATCATAGTGATCTCCATATCCCTTAACAGCAAAATATCCTTCACATTACGCTAAGGATATTCGTAGCTTGTCTTCAGCTCCTTCGTATGTGTCAGGCTCCTTTGCTTTCGGTCGTTGGATGTTTCCTTATCCTGTGTTTCGTGTTGCTGCGAGAAATGCCTGAAAGTGAATTTCAGTCATTCCAAGTATGCTAGTTCCTGGTGCCAGAGGGGCTGGGGCCGGTGGCCCAGGTTCTGCTAATCCCGACATTCTCTCGGATCGTGGAGTTCCTGCAGGAGAGCTATCAACTGGTGATCCTTTCTCTGAAGTTACTGGGCTTGCTGCTCTCAAGGGTTCTGCCGAGACATGATCTAGGGCATCGCTGAATCCTCCTAGGTTAAGGTTTTGATCGTTGATGTCAATATCTCCTTCCCTGTCTGGATTAAAGGCTGCCATCTTGTATCATTTGGCCTCGCACTAGGTAATGCTTTGTAATGTAATGATCCGCCTTTGAACAGTTAATTCTTGGCGATGGGGAATGATACTTCTCTTTTCTGTCTTCTTCTTTCTTCGTCTTACGATACCTCTATACCTCTGCCTACATTACCAATAGTACAAGACCTTTGTCTTCTATCGGAAACACCTATCGTAAGCTTTCTCTAACTTGTCTCTGTGAAGAACTTTTCTTCACATAATGATAACATTGCAGTAAAGATAATAATCGTAAAGGTGTTTTATATTCATTAAAGTAATAAGTAGGAAAAGTACTTAGAACAAAGCGTGAAGAACCTATCTTCCTCGGCCGCATCGGCCTCCTTATATAGTATTCTTCCCGCCCATAGTCATGTGACCTAAAGTGGTCACATGTGCGAAACCAAATCATAACAAACTAGCCATGTGACCAAAGTGATCCCATGCTCAAAACCCATGACCTTATAGCGAGGTCATGTACAAAACTCATAAACCAATCATAACGCAATAAATAAGTCATATGACTCTACAGAGTCATATGCGCAAAACCCATGACCTCATAATGAGGTCATGTGCGAAACATACATCATATGTGCAAGGCTTGCCCAAAAGGCACACTCGCAAGGCATACTCGCCAGGCTCACGTCCCATGACTCATATTTGAGCCATGTGTGAAAGCATCACAAATCCCACACATAACAAATCATATAACCCAAATGAGTCATATGTGTAAAACAATAATATACCTGTGACTCATAACCATGTGTCACGTGAAAGCCTCTTTCATGCCAAGCCACGTTCGTGACATAGAGCTTCTCAAATAACACTCACGATTTGGATACCTGGTTATTATCTATTAATCCCTTCTAACGCCAATCTGGAATCCAGTTTCATCGACGTTGTATTTGTCTTGAGTCTGAATATCATGCTGCTGACATATTGCCTGATATTTCTCAAACCATACTCGTATATCCAGGGATTGATGAGCGTTTTTTATATCAATATCGATAGTTTTTTGCTTACATATGAAGTATTCAGGATGGCCATCGAGGAACTGATGGGCCCAGTAGTCACTAACATTAGGAGCTGGTGGTGGAGGTGGACCACTATGGGAGTATTGTAATATAGCATTTGCACAACCTGTAATCATTTGAAGGTGTGTACTGGTTCCAATTGCATCTAGGCAATCTAGATATTGGCAGACAGCAAGTTCTTGATCAACTGAAAGGACACAGTTTGGGCCAGCTCATTCTTGTTTTGATTGAACACCCTTCAGACAAGCTCGGAGTCGTGATACAGGTACTTCAAATTTGCGTGCAATTGCTGCTACCTTTGGATACTGTTCTTGACTGCTGCGAATAGAGGTAATAGCAGCCTGGATTCGGATTTCAATATCAGCATAGGGGTCAACACATTGACTTGCAAGAACAAAGGAGGTTGCAGGAGCCATAGTTGATGGTGAAAGAGATAATTGTCTATTAGTGATAATTTAAGAAATATAAACTGACAAGAAGTCTGAATAATTTACAAAATTATTTTTAATTATAATACTATTTTGAGTGATGATAGTATGATTATGCTGTGAAATTTGATTAAGCTACAAAATTACTTCAGAAGCCACAAAGTCATATTGAGCCACAAAAATTACAATGGTAAGCCACAAAGTCATGTTGAGCTATAAAGTCATGTTGAACTGTCAGGCACTCTGGAGGAGTACCCAAGGTCGCGAGAGAGCGAGCAACCATGGATTGTAGCTAGCAGCCACAACCTTGGCATGAGTACTCTAATTATTTCTTTTTTCAGAAAACAAATTTAACCTTTTTCACTCACAATACACTGTTGGTATTTCTAAGATCACTGAGAGAATAATGTATTACTGTTCTGTACTCTTGCTCTGCTGGCCACTCTCCTCAAATTTACTAGGCAACTCTTGTACAAAAATATCTTGCATAATACTTGTATGTAAGTTGGTTTAGGATATAGAGAACCACATTTAACTAATACAATAATAACAAATAGCATTAAGTCTTAACATAAGCTGATAAAGAAATCAAGTTTTGTGGTATAGTTGGTTCTATATTATAATGTTATCAAAAAATTGATCAAATTTCCCCTGAAATAGAAGTAGAGAGAGGTTTGGTATTGTGGTAGAATAGTAGACTTCTTCCTTCCTAATCCTAACTTAGAAACATTTCATAGGACTGTGCCTTATAAATAAGAACAGCTTCAACCTCTTAAATTGTCATGCTTTATATTGTATCAAGTACCTACTTTCCTTTGCAGAACTGGAACTACACCAACCTGACACACTAGCAGTTCCTGGTTCAAGTTTAGGACTGGGCGAAACCAATTTTTCTCTCTTGAAAATAGTTATCTCTTTTGTAATTTCTTTTACGATATGCTCTTCCACAATGTCACCTCGAATTAGCTAGAATGCAATGCATCACAAGCTGAAACGCTTATTGGTAGGCTCTATGAAGGGTCTGGAAGGGGGCTGTATGGTACAGAAGGTAGGACAAGCCATCAGAAATACAGTAGGAAAAGCAGAACTTGAAGAGAATGGATTGAGTATTACCAGTATGACATATCAAAAAGTAAGATACCTCCCACTATGATGCAATACGTCTAAAAATTTGCACCTTATAATTCTAGGTCAAAGAGTTAAATTATAAATTATAACAAACTGTTTTTGGAGGCCCATATTCAATTCATTAGCTGCAACTACTTTTTTCAATATCATACATTTGTGTGATAAATTAATTTTTATGATTAATTGTTTTAATTTTCTTAACGTGGTATTGTGACAAAAAAATAGTAGTTGTAGAAAATGAATTGAACATGGGGGCTACAGCATCATAGGAAAACACTTTATGGATACTTGTATGGTCCTATTGTAGAACTATCATACCGTATCTCGAGTACTGAAATGGCTATCTAAACATTGATACGCCATGCGCTGTCACTCGTCATCACTCGCTGACGCCCTTCGTCACCTAAAGTACCTACATATGATAGGCAAACACCTCGCACACACTAACTTATTACATAACTCACTCCGAATATCTATCCTACACAGCCAGCATCCCCGGGCACCCCGTGAAATATGTAGGTATATACATGAGAAATAGTTACAGGATGGAAACCCCCTGTCCATCCAACCACGCAAGAAGTTGGGTTTCCCCCCCCAATCAAAGCTTTATGTTTTCTTAACTTGGACTGTTTAAGTCCTCCTGGTATGATAACGCATTGGGAAACCGATTATAAAGAAATTCGAAATGTGAGAATTAATTCAGCAAGCACTCAGCAATTTCATCCTCCCCTCCCCTTCCAGGATCACAACTTCTCCCTTCCTCTCGTCTCAACCGGCACCCCCAAAACCGCCACTCCAGCAGCCAATATCAATCCTCCCGCAACATAAACTGGTACATTAGGATTGCGGCCAATAGTATTAGCAGCGATGATGGGACCGCACAGCCCTGCGATCCTATTGATGAAACTGGCCAGTCCGACACCCGTACCACGCACGGGCGCCGGGAAGAGCTCGGGGGTAAAGGTGTAGAGGGTGCCGTACATGATGTTCTGAAAGAAGGCTTCCAGGCAGGCGAAGGTTAGCTGATAGGTGTCCTCCGCGGAGATGGTGAAGAGGAAGAGGAAGATGCCAGAGAGGAGGGTGGAGATGCTAAGGGTGCGTTTTCGGCCGAGGTAGGGGGTGTCGATTGTGTACTTTTTTTTCTCCGTGTTAGACAGAAGAGGAGAGGGAAAGGGGAGGGGAGGGAGACAGAGGGCGGATACCATCGCAACGAGGGAACCGGGGACTCCGGCCATGCTTGTTATTGCGTAGTTGCGGTACCTGATATCATCAATTATGATACTCCCCACAGCACACTAGAGTCTGGTATAAGGAACGATAGCCCATGACATACACTATACTATTTGGCTTTACCCCTCCAGCCCCGTTCTTCGTCAAGTAAATCGGCAAGAAGGCATTGAACAGCGGATACCCCATTCCTATGGTCGCCCAGCAGAACCACACAAGCACCGTGGTCAAGCCCAGTTTCCTATCTTCGAAGAGTGGGTGGATCCGTTTGAGGGTGAATCTCTCCGTTTTAAGCTTTACGAGTTGCATTGCTGACAGCTTTGGGGTTTCCCTCATCGCGGAGGGAGAGGCAGTGAGAGAGGAATGATTCTCAATTTCATCGGGATCATTGTCGGCTCGGGATAACTCCCGGAGGAGTTCCAAAGTTAGCCAGGTCTTTGTCTTGTTCCTGTGGGCAATCCCGTGCACAACAGCTACCGCTTCTTCATCCCTCCCGCGGGAGATATAAAACTTCGGCGATTCGTAGAGGTGGAAGGTGAAAAATCTTGCTATGAACTATCCCGCTTCCCATTCTATCATTAATACAATATCCAGCTTCCCCGGTATATACCTCGAGGAGATGACAAACCATAACCGTCGTCAAGCTCCCCAAGGTAATCATCAGATACCTCCACCCCATGTTATCCTCCTTCTTGCAGTGCCCCGCATCCGCAACCTCCGCCGTGCAGCTATACTTTGGCAGGAGTCCCCACGCCACCAGAGAACCAACAAGCTGTCCGAAAGGCCACCAAATCGACAGCCCCGCCAACAGGTTCCCGTTCCTTTCTGGTAAAAACTCCAGAAAGAGCGCTCCATCGACAGGCAGATTCCCACCAACTCCGGTTCCGATACAAGTGAAAAGCACGGCGGTGGTAGCCCAAGAACCCGCACCGCCGACCGCAAGTCCGAAGATTGCGGCTATAGCCAGAGTGGAATTGAACTATGGTATCACAATCTCAGCATCCGGTACAGTACGAGTACAGTACCGTAAAGGCTCGAATAGAAGATAAACGTGTTTGGGCGTTGTGGTTCCCTCTCTTGGTAAGGCACCGTGTAGATCCCTCTGGTTTCGTCTCAGCTGAGGGCTGAGTTTGAGACATTTCTCCCTCATGTAGCCGAGAAGGGGAATTCCAGCGCCCTTGCACACCTACCGTATCTTCTATTCGAGTTCTCAAGGTAAGGAGGCACAAGGCGAGAACAAGGAGGAGGATGGGGTAAACAGACAGCAACCTTCCTGCCCCAGATATCACTAAAGACACCCCACCCCACAGCTCCACAGCATAACCCTGCAAAGAGTGCGCAGGTGGTATACCCAATCCGACTATCCTCAATGCCGAATTCCCGCTGTATGCTGGTTAATATCAGCGCTAGTCCCTGCAGCCACATATTATCCGCGAACCAGCCGAAGCCGCAGAGCGCAAAGAGATGCCATGTATACGGCCCCATTCCAATGTCCTGAATCGCAAGATTTATGACACGGGATTTGCGCGTGTAGGGCGTGCTGTCCATGTGTGCGGTTCCTGCGGGGGGGGCGATCGCGGCGCGGAGGGTTTCAATGTTATATTCTAGGGTATCAGCAATGAGGGGGAACTCGAGGGGGGAGGAGACTCGAGACGGGCGCTTTGCGGGCACGTAGCGCGGCGCGGAAGATATTGGTACGACCACATCTGAAATTATCTCTTTCTCCCGAGGGTGGAGCCCGAAGGGACTGAGGAAGATGCCCATATTGATCGCTTGGTCGTCGCGCAGAGTGTGGTGTGAGTGTGAGTAGTACTGTACAAGTACCGGTATGCGACGGTCTCGGAAGTTCCAGTATGGCAGGGAAGTTGGTGTTGCCCATTTACAAGTAAGCAGCTTGTGGTTGATCCATCCATGCCTACACACCCATAAGTTACTGGAGTACCGGTACTGTACTAGTACTGTACAGTACACCTATCCCACAAGTCTCCTCTTCTTCCTCCTCCCCCCTCGCAAGTTCAACAAGGATAATAATAAATTGTGCATCTCACCGCCGTGCCCTCGTCACACCACCAAAATCTCAGTTCGTCACATTGTCCCCATGATGCCCTGCGTTCGACCTTCGTGATGGTATAATAATCCCAATAGTAGAATGTTGCACTGGAGGAAGCATATTAGGGCACGTATGGAGGTATAGGGCATAGCAGGGATTTAGGGCTCACATGTACGAGCAGAGTGTTCACTATAAAGTGAACGTCTAGCTAGCAACCTCCATAGCAGAATTGAACCACAACGTACCTTTCTCACGACCACATCTGCGCACGATCATAGCCGACCTCCATCACTTAGCAGCCATAAAAATCATTACCACCTCCAGCAGCCGCTGCAACAAGAGAGTGCATCAACGGAAGGAGTACTGCGCTGTGCTGTACAGTACAGTACAGTACAGTACAGTACGTACATACTTGTACTCGGATGGTAACGGTCCTGTGGGCTGGTATTTTTTTGCTTGGTAAGGGAGATGTATTATTTAAATATCATATCAAGTCAAACATTAATTATCATTGCATTAGTTATCATGGTCACAGTCGAGTTTATGCAGCCAGTTTAAGTGGGAATAGTGCGCGTGAGAGTGAACGCGCAATCGCGCCGTCATACGTGTCGGAAAGATATTAACTGCGTGTCCAGCCCTTGGAGATTCCCCGCTTCGTGATGAGAGAGTGTGTGGAGCAATGGAGCATGGGAGAGGAAGAGAAGCGAGCAAGACATATCATGGACTTTTTTATTCACTTTGCCGGAATTGACTCGAGTATCATAATAGCTTATGAGATCCTTCTCCTTGTATTCAGTGTGGCTCGGGGTAAACCCTTTTTTCTTCACCTAGACCCTGAAACAAACGAATATGAGCCGCACCACCCAAGAACGTCGGACCCAAATTTTTCGCTCTGTAGGATACCCCCGGGAAAAATTGGGATCACGACTCCCGCGATGGCTAACGTGTAAAAGCATCCCCTTCTATCCGGAAATTGGCAAAGAGGAGTGGCGCCGTGGGTGTCGATGAGGCTCTTTGACTGAAAAATGTTTGGGCCAGGGGTTGTCCCTTCGTCTACCGTATTCAGGACCTCACGCTCGACCTGAATGGGGCGATAGTGTCACCACTGGAGGAGATCGATAAACTCCTCGGCGCCATAAATTCCATTGGCTAGGTCACTATTGAGTGACAGGAGCAATACTTTTATGAGCCGAGGATGGGGAGACAATACGCACCAGAAGGTCCTGAAACTAGGGAACGAACGGGGGGATCATAGCGTGGTAAGTCCACGAGTGACTTTTGATGAAAGTCTTAATTCCATGATGGGGAGACCGCTTTGGGGAGGGGAATTTACTCCACATTCTCAAACGCAACCTTGATTGATAACAAAAACCAACTCCCTCTCGTTCTATATACTGATATTCTAAAAAATACATAGTCCATATCCCTACATCAACTCCCCACGAGTTTCAAAGCCCCCCAATCCCTCCAAATTTCCATCCAGAAAAGACCACCCAGTGCCCACATCATCGTTGACCACATCCCATCACCTGCAAATTCATTAAGGCCCAAATAAAAAACAAAACGCCAGAGAACATCAGGTATCAAACATCATTAAGGATCACGCCACTCCCGGGGGTATAAAGTTTCGTGACAGTGAAAAGGAAGAAATCACTTCCATAAAATGGACAAAAAGAAGCAGATAAGGAAATCCAATTTACATGGAACACCTTTTCCAATGCAAGAAATGCGAAGGATACAATCCTGTCATGCAATTTGATTAGTACCCTCTTCGGGCACGACTTATGACTTGCCAGCTCATGAGGATCAACCACAGGAACACGAACCTATTAAATTAATTAGTCTCGAATTTAGGATCACATTTAGATGAGGGGGTGGGGGAAGGGAGCTTACGTGGAAATCATTTCCAACGCAAAAGTAGTCTTCCACAAATTGCAAACACCCTCTTGTTGTATCCTAGCGAGGGTATCCAAATTGCGTCCACCCCAAAACTGGTCATTGTAAACGTATCGTACGCAATTATCATTAATACTACCGAGAGGACCCCATAGTTCGATACTGGCCTTAATCAATCCCGTCAACCAAAGCACGAACATGATGAACGAGGAGATCATGACGATGATCGGAAGCAGCAGGTGGACATAGTACAAGGCGACAACGGAGAAAACGAGGAGTATGGTAAGAGTCGAGATGGCTAGGAGGAAGTAATAGTACCTACATACTCCTCCATTAGCAGCTGCACTACGCGGGAGATGGGCGGGGAATGGAGCCAAACTCACCACGGGACCATAATGAATAGCCTTCGCTGTATTGCCGTGAAGTAGGCGAACGATCCCAGAACAATTGCTCCGCACATGAACAGAATCAACAGAAGGACCGCAAGCAGGAGTTCGGGCCATCTGTAGCGTCTAACTTTGACCGGGACAAGCTCGCGCTCCATGTAGACGTCCGACATTGAGACGGGGGAGAAACGATTGGGCTTAATGGTGGTGATAGTATAGGTCTGCGACCGCAGAGGGTTGCAGGAACAACTGAAATGGAATGGTTGTTCGTCGTTGTCGACAGATTCGTGAAATGCAACAAGTAAGGACCGTCTCCGGAATGAGTGTCGTAGAAGCTGTGGAAGGGAAAGTGAAGGGGGGGGTAGGCAGAGGGAAGAGGTGGGTGGTGGGTGGATGGATGAGCGGAACAGAGAAAAAAAAAAAAGAGGGCTGGAGAAAGAGGGCTGGAGGGGAGGGGAGCACAGTATTTACTTTGACCTGCCGGCCCTACGAAATTGCGTGGCAGGTGTCGCAGCTTCCTTGCCAGTGAAAAGTACGAATACTCGTACAATCAATAATCGGTTGCCCAACCAACCAACCACCCGTCTTTTTGTTCTTTTCCCACATGGCCAGTTAAAAAGAGGTTAGCATAACTTTCGTTACCACGTCAACCCCATGGCGCCATTCGCTTAATCAGAAATACCCAATCAATTTATTCCCCTCATTCTAGATTTAACGCGCAAGTAGTGCAGAGCCCAGTACCTGCGTTGAAATCGAATGGGCAGATCAAAATGCATCGGGTTACAGAGATCACATTCAAGATCTTGGAGGAAACATGGGTTCTCACTTTTAAGCCCTGGGTTTGAATGTTTTACTGAGTTAAACTCAACCGCCAAACACCAATGTTTTGAAACAAGGTGGTTGGTGCTTGGCTTGGCACGGATGGGAAGACGCGGATGGTGCCGAAACCTTGGAATTAATTTTCACGAGCCAAGATTCCCCAAGGTAATAATATGTTCTGCGTTATTTTACTCATGCCTTCTGCATAAGTGCCAGGATGAAAGTTTTCGTACAGTTAATTTAGGTTAACCTGAAAAAATAATCCCTGTCTTGTACGAAAACATCTACCTTATGCCTTGCATCATGGTCATGATACATGTAAAGAACGCATTTACAGATTGGATTTCATTCTTCATCGCTAAAGCTTAAGGGAGGCACGGCCGGACAAACTTACCTCTCCCCACGGCATTAGGTCCAAAAGGCGGGCCTACTCCAACCCCGCCTACGGTGTGCGCAGTACCAGTACTGGCGCCTCAGGAAAGAGCCCCCCGCGCCATGCAACAGCTGGCGTGAGATGGTTCTTGCTGAGTAATATGTCACTGTATTTGCCCAAAGCAGCTTGGCCACCCTATATTTAGGCAGTTCACTGAATCGAGAGGTCAGAGGGTCAATTCTAAGGTGCCCAACGAGCCTCGCACTGTATGATAGATGATCAATCTTGTCCGGTGGATGAGTGGGTTGGCGGATTGCTCCTGGTACTCGCGTGTGGGGGAGGGAAATCAATAAATAGAGGGATCTATCAATGTGTGGACAGTTGATAAACGAAACCCTTGGTGGTGCAGGTCAAGGATTCGAGAAATCCCTCTACCGGTATTATAATAGTATAATACTCATTCACTGTCACTCGACCAGCTTGGCTTGGCGCTTTCTTGACCAAACACCTTGGTGGCTTATCCTTGTACCTTATAAACAGCGCTCGAAGTTAATGTTTAATAATAACTCGTGTCGAGAAAGATCGAACACCCGGGCTCTTGCTGATGGCGCAAGGGTTAATTTCTTCTTGAAGCCTTAACCGCTGCGCCAGCTAGGTATTTTTCACATACTATTACTCCAGGCACAAATACTTATCATAATATTGTCTTTGGATCTTTTTCACCTGAGGGCGAGGGTAACGATAACATAATGTCTATTTATTAAACATTTAGTGCGTTCGGGAAATGGATACATCCTGTGAAAGAGAAAATGATAAACATTCATCTTTAATGAGTAAAAAATTACATTGTGTGCGGAGCAACAATCGCAGCCGGATGTCAGTCATCGAAACTGGTGGGTTTTGCTGTGGGAAAGGCGGATTTTGAGTAATAGCATCTTGATCCTTCCATGTTTGCCATAAAACTAACCCGTGAGAGAATAGAGCCCC